ACGTCATAAAAACGAAGACAAAGGCGAAATTCGGACAAACAAACTTCCAAGTTTACTTTCAGCAGATAATTTTCACAGCCGATCGCAGTTGATCTTAGTTTACATGGGTTATTATTGTAACTTGAAGTAAAAATAATAAAATCGGTTCCGGGGATTTTACATTTGAGTGGTGTTAAAATCACAGATTTTCCCCGGTAGTCGGGGGGGCACATTCCCTGTTGAAACCTCCGCTATTGTGGCCCCGTTCTTGGTTTAGTAGTCAACAAGAAACACATTTCACGCCAACTCCAAATTCTTGTGCTACACAGAGCCAACTGTTGTGTGTTCCATGTACTAAATATTCAATGCTCATTATTTTCATAAGCTCTGAACCTCAAATCATGCGAAAACGGTTAGGTTAACGTCTAGTCAGCTGAGAATTTAATGGTATTAAAATGAAAATAAACAATGCTTGTAAATATTGCGAAGTAGTAGTTTTAATAGATTAATCTTGATCTGATTCTACATTCGAACTGACCGAAACGACTGAACAAAACCCGCGTATAAGAACCTGGGTTTTTTAAGAACCTGTTAGGCTAAAATTCTCACTTTAAGACCCCTCCACATAAGAACCTATTAAGGCTACAATTTTAAGAAAGGTTCTTATCAGTGGAGTTCAGTGTAAAAGTGTATAGGTAGAAACTGCTATAAGTTTGTTTGAGCATGTGTTTTGTGTAGAACATACTGCTCTGTACTAGGCTACGGCCACTGTGCTTGGAATCACAACGCCTTGGTATTTTTTAAGATAGCCGACCTCTAGTTTCCAGGCCCTTACATATTCAAACGAGCGTTAAAATCCCCGCTCGATTCCCCGCTGAGAAAACCATTCGTTAAATCCCCTAACCCCCGGTGCAATCATGCTCTTAAAAGCACATCAAAAACGCGTCACGTCCCCGTTCAGTGCCCCGCTAGCTGCGGGGGTCGGGGGTTTCAATTGACTAGTGCATTAAACAGAATGCTATGTTTGTCCGAATCTTTAAGCTATTTTTAGAATCAGCGCGCTGCGCTATTACAGTGATGGTCACTCTCATTCACGGCTTATTATAAGAAATAATATACTACGTTCCCGAGGCCGAGGAGACATTTACTCGCCAATATCCCTAATTAGACATAGTATTAGTTTGTAATACCACGGCAAGTGCTAAGGTCTTTAAAAGCCAATGTCTAGTACAGAGTCAAGTATAAGCATAGTTAAACAGAAGCCATATTAACTATGGTTATACCAGGGGCGGCGAAACCGGGGGGGTCGGAGGGGCACGTGCCCCCCCACCAATTTTTTTKGGGGGGCCTGCCCCCCCCACAAATATTGGTTCTTAGTCATTGTTTTACGGCGCATGCGTCTGCAATCAAACAAAACATTGTCATTATCACATAGCGTTAAAGTGCTACTCTGACGAAAATCGCTCAAACTTGGATTCAGCTGAAACTTCCTAAGAATACTCTTTGAAGGTCCAATAATCACTGTATGAAGTGTTTTCTCGATATTCAGGACGAAAGTATGATATTTTTACGATTATTTTTTTTGGAGTCTGTGACGTCATACACTCAACATCGAACATCGCTCCATACATTTCTTTGTATAARTCCTTAATTTATTTCATTCCTATGAAGCCCAAAGGGTGGCTAATGTGCTTATTTCACATTACTTGTGACTATAATTTATATTTTGGGGTGTTTGGGTATTTCTTTCTCCCTTTACTACTGATATTTTGATCATAACTACAAAGAAATGTATGGAGCGATGTTCGATGTTGAGTGAATAACGTCACAGACTCCAAAAAATAATCGTAAAAATATCATTCTTTCGTCCTGAATATCGAGAAAACACTTCATACAGTGATTATTGGACCTTTAAAGAGTATTCTTAGGAAGTTTCAGCTGAATCCAAGTTTGAGCGACTTTCGTCAGAGTAGCACTTTAAATATAATCTTCAGTGCCCCCCCCCCCAAAGATTTTTGCAGTGCCCCCCAAAGATTTTTAGCTTCCGCCGCCCCTGTATACTATAAGATTTCTACTGGGTCAATGCGACCCAGGCACGGTCCCGTTGATTTTTGATATGAGGGACCATGTTTCTCAACACTGACTCATCTATAGGGATGTTTGACTAAAGTTCTCTTTGTCATAAAGGGGCTTCTTCAAGCTCAACTTCTCAACCAGAAATGGAAAAAAAGCTATCAGATGTAGAGACGGTATCCATCTTTATTGGTGTTGGACTAACTGCACTTTATGTGCTAACGATTACTTATCTTCTCTACCGGGCTGATAAAAGACAAAAAGAGGGCTTGAGTGATGAATTACCTTGTCAAAGTAGAGAACAGGTAAGTAGAATGCACAACCTGGGTTGATCTAAGTCACTGCACGGCAAACTCACAGAGACGAACCCTCAAACAACCTCTGGGTTGGACTATAAAACGTTTCGATATTTACTCATATAAATCGTGAATGTTAAAAACTAAAAAGGTGACCTAGGCCTGGTGGATCGACAAGATATTTTTATCTTTAAAAATTTTTTTTTATTGTTATGCCCCCTCATCTTATGCAAAAAACCTCCCCTTGAATCCGCCACTGTAATAGGTCATTTACTTCTTGTGTTTTTCGTAGGAGAACTTGGCAGCAGACGTCCAAGACGATGACGCTAACAATGCCACTTCTTCTAGCTCACTGTCCTCGATCACACTTTCAACGGGTGTATTATATTCTTCTCCTCAAGCAATTTCCGGCTCAAATTGATAAAGAACAGTCATACTTCCATAGCGAAATTTGGATGATTCAGCTCCAGCTATCCAACACGTTCCACTATCTGACGTCATCACAGCCCAGGCATCCCAAGCCATCAAATCCGGGATATTCCACAGGGAGCCCAGCTTAAGTTATTTCGCAACTTTGACGGACGATATCACCCCAAAAAACGCATTTCATGGAATTTTCATTTCGATTTTCAAAATCAACAAGGTTTGATGTACAATTTAAGCTATGATGTGTCTGGCACCTCAGAGTCCCTTTAAGTGTCTAGTCGTTCTAGYGCTTTCGCACTAATTGGGGATACTTTTCACTCACACGCACTACCACTACATTTAATATTCTATGCACACAACGCTCAACTCACATGTTGATTTTTATGGAGGGAGGAAACCGGAGAACCCGGAGAAAACCCTCGTAGCATAGGAGAGAACAACACATCAAACAAACTCAATTCACATGTGGCGACCGCAGGGCTCGAACCAGCGACCCGACCCGTTGGACTCACAGCGGTGAAAGACGACGCGTTAGCCGCGAACGCCACCCATGCTACCCATATCTGTAAGAAATAGAGTTTTGTTTAACGAATTATTGCCTGGGGTTTGCAGCCTGGCCAATGCACTAATTTTATCAGGGTGGCGCAGGGGTGACGCGTGATGCGGGCTAAAATAAATGCGATACAAACATAGAAATACAATAGCAATACCACAATTCTATCGAGATTATCCTCGAATCCACGATACGTTTAAAAAGTAAGAGTTAATTACCGAGAACGKMGGCAATAAGCCATATACATCCCGAGGGCCGCAGGCCCGAGGGATGTATAGGCTCATTGCCGACGTTCTCGGTAATTAACTCTTACTTATAGACCTATTCGGCTAACGTGTTGCTATAAACACTTCCACCCAATTCAAACCACGTGGGAGTAAGTTTCATCGTTCGTTATATTTTGGTTTCAGAGTTGAAGTCGTAGAGACAAACGCTTCTATTCCTAGAAGGTTTGAATTGGTAGTAACGTACATAGCAACACGTTAGCCGATTAGGTGTATTGATTCAAATTTGTGAAGGTAAAGTTTAGTTTCATGACTTCCCCCTGGCCCTTCCCCCCTCCCCCCGTGCCACCCTGTTTTATATAACTTACTTTTATAAACAATGCTGCGATATCTATCTTTTTATACTCCTATTTTTTTAAAAAAGGTTGTGCGAGCCAAATGAGATAGGCGACAGGAAATATAATAGGGCATTCCAAGATCCAAGCATAGCTGGATTATTACTGGGTTGCCTGTGGCAGCCAAGTCTAAAAATGAGTTGCTTGTGACCGTATTTTAAWTTCCTGCGTCAGAAAATGCCAAAACTGCGCAATACTACCCAAGGTCTTCATGGCACTACCCAAGAGTACCCTAGCTTTGAGGACATTTGATACAGAGATCCCGTGTGAAGTCTGTTTTATATTCAAGTGACAGTTGACAATCGATTTCTAATTTGTCAAAGTGATTGATTGGGGGTGGGGCTGCGAATCACGTGTCGGAAATTAATGTCTACGCATATTATTTCTTCGTTAGTTGCTGAAATTCAAGGCTTAGTGCAGGATAAGGAACTATTCTGGTGTGTAAACTGACCAAGAAAGTTYAAGATGCCGTGAAAAGATGGCTTTTATTTGTCTACCCAAAATTTTAATTAAGCTTCTCAAAAGCATTAAACTAGAAAAATAGGGCATCAAATCTTCTCGTGAGTGAACAACATCCCATTTTTGATTAATAAAGTTGCGACTTTCAATTCCCCGTGGTAGATCGCCTACACCTTGGTTTTGAGTCAATTTTACTTGCCAGATTCTTACTTGAGATTTAATAATGCTAGCGCTATAAACGATTAGAAAAATAGAAAAGTTCCACTATTCTGTATCCTATTATTTGAAAAATCAAAAAAGAAAAACGGAAAAAATGAACAAGAGCGCGAGTACGTGTAATAAAAACGTCATAAAAACGAAGACAAAGGCGAAATTCGGACAAACAAACTTCCAAGTTTACTTTCAGCAGATAATTTTCACAGCCGATCGCAGTTGATCT